CCAGGTCCAGGGGAGGGGGTAGGGGGAGGGTCAAGCTACCCACCCGCCCGCAAGCCGTGTAGCTCACTCCCACCCGCCCTCCCACACATAAGTAACACGCGAGCCTGAGCATGTTCAGCGGTCGTCTTTGCATGGATGGGAACCAAAGCCGACCCCAGGTGCGCGACTCTGGGGCGAGGTGCGCCACGCGTGCCAGGGGCGCCACTCGCGCCAGGCACCCCTGGGGCCCGAGCATGCCAGGCACGCCTGGTGCGCCAGATGCGCCACGCGCTCCGAGTGCGCCAGGTATGCCGAACACTCCAGCCGCGCCAGGTGCGCCATGCTCGGGGCACGTGCAGATTGCGTCAGGTGCGCCTGCGCACGTGACAGCACACATTGGGAACAATGTCGGCCCCCGCCATCCATGTCGAAAACCAATGCCCATCATTGTGTCTGGTGGGCCTGCGCACAGCAGGCCATTCGCCACCACCCCCGCCATCCCTGTCAAAAACAATTTGACAGTGATCGCGGGATGGCCGCGCATGATCCAGATTTAGCCGCGAGGTGCATGTTGTATTGAATTTTGTCAGGGATGGTATCCCTGCGCACGGCAGGGAATATGCTGGCACCCCCGCCGTCCCTGTCAAACGCAATACATGGTGTTCGCGGGCCTCACGAACATGACTCAAGACTTTGCCCCAAAGTGTGTTTTGCATTGTTTCTTGTTTTTTGACAGGGATGGTGGAACAGGGGGCCGCATCGGGTTGGCCGCGCATGCTCCAAATGTGGAGGCAGAATGCGGTTTGTATGGTTTTTTGACAGGGATGGTGGGGGGCGGGCCGTCATGGTGTCATCATGGTTTCTGGTTGGTCGCTGGTCGCCTGGGGGAGGGGGTGTATGTCAATAAGGAAGGATGATAAACCTCTCCCCGAAGGGGAAGACGGGGTTGTGGAAGAGGAAAGAAAGACATCGATGGTCCACTGGTCACCCAGAAGGCTGGTGGGACCATCGCCACTTCCGAGGGCTGCTGGGGGGGCCAGCACAGGGGGATCCCACGCAGATCCAGACGGGACCTCGCCATTCCTGGGGGGGGGGCTGCGGAGAAGTGCGAAGCTGTCGCCACTTTCGAGGTCTACTGGGGAGGCCAGCACAGTGGGATCCCACGCAGATCCAAACGGGACCTCGCCATTCCTGCGGGGGGGGCGGCTGCGAAGAAGTGCGAAACTGTCGCCCCTTTCGAGGGCTGTGGGGTCGCGCCTGCGCGCGTTTGGTGCTCGCACTGAGAGGTGCAGGGAGGAAGCGGAGAGGCTGGCGGGCGAGCCAGGCATTGACCGCTCCTTACACTAGCAACGGGAGCTATTGATTTTCCCAGGCGCTGCGTCAACGCGGAGCGCTGGCCGCGCTCCATGCGCACTTCGCACGACACAGAGATCCGCCGTTCACCGTCTCTTGCAGTGCTGCTGTCCCACTGCTGGGCGCACCTTCTGTCATCCCTTGGTGCCGGCGGGTCGGGTACGTCGCGGGGTGATTTCAATACGTTGGACCTCTGGGCTCTCTACCCAGACATCCGACGTCTCGATTTTTTCGAGACGCGGGCCCCCGACCTCCCGACCACTTCCCTGGGACCGGCTTTTCCTCCCGAGTGGTTTTTTGACGGCCCCGAGGCCCGGCGAGGGCCCCGAGAGGCCAAAAACTATGAAAAACCTCTGTCTCGATTTTTTTCCGGGACGCCCGATGTCTGGCCAGGAGTCCCCTACGACACCCGGTGCCCGTGCGCAGCCGGCGCCCACCCCGCGTCGGCCAGGGCCTCCGCGCGCAGGCCGGCGTCCCGGCGGGGCGCGCCGCCGCACCGCCCGGCGCACCCGAGGGCTCGGCGCCGCAGGCCGCCGCGCCGGCCGTGGGCACCAGCTCGGGGGCGCCCAGGAGGGGGGGCGAAGGGAGCGAAGGCGGCCAGGCGCAGAGGAGGGGGAGGGGGAGGGGGAGGAGGAGGAGGAGGAGGAGGAGGAGGAGGAGGAGGAGGAGAGGAGGAGGAGGAGGAGGAGGAGGAGGAGGAGGAGGAGGAGGGAGGAGGAGGAGGAGGAGGGAGGAGAGGAGGAGAGGAGGAGGAGGGGGGAGGGGGCGGAGGAGGAGGAGAAGAAGGAGGAGGAGGAGGAGGAGGAGGAGGAGGAGGAGGAGGGGGAGGGGGGGGAGGAGGAGGAGGAGGAGGAGGAGGAGGAGGAGGAGGAGGAGGACCTCAGGAGGAGGAGGGCCCACGTTTTGGGGGCTGGCCGCTCACGTGGGGCCTCGTGGCGTGGAGACGTTCTCGTTGGCTCTTGGAGGACGACTTCGTCGGTTTTTGGGGCTGTTCTCTCGCCTCGAGATGCTCTCCAGCAGCCGCGCCTCGTCGGGAGCTTTTCAGGGGTGCCCGGGTCGTCCCGAGCGGCCGCCGGGTGCCCGAGCTATGACCCGAAAGCCAGGCGACAAGGTGAGGGTGGGTGAGGCCCAGTTCCAGATCCCCTTCGCGTCGTGAACAGAGTCACGCCGTGCGTTCTTTTTCCCGTTGTCGGCCTCCTCCAGGGGCCCTCGCCGGGCCCCGGGACCGTCAAAGAAAGACTCGTGATGAAAAGCCGGGTTTGGGAGGAACGGGTCGAAACCTCTGGGGGCGGGGTTCGAAGTTCGAGGTTCGAGGTTTGCGGGCGTCGTCGCCGGTTCGCGGGCACTTCTGCCAATCTCGGGGTGGTCTCAGCCGCGCGTCGCCGAGCGCGTTCCAGGGGTGCCCAGAGAGTCCCGAGCGTCCGTCGGAGGCCGGAGTGGGGACCCGAAAGCCATTGGGCTTCGAGGAGGGTCGGCGGGGCAAGGACACCTCCCCGGATCTCACCGTCCCCGCTGAGGTTCAATACGTCCCTTGGCGCCCTCGTCTTGCGCACACATGCCTTGGGCCATCATGCCCCCCCCCCCGCTTCCTGGCTCCCCTCTTGGGCGCACCCGGCCAGCGGCCTCCTCGGCTTCGGCGTGGCCTTCGGCGTCGCGTTCGCGGCGATGACCAGGTCTGCGCAGGGGGCCCCTCAGACATCCCAGATCTCCGACGGTGTGGTTCCTGAGCCCCTTGCAGTTTTCCACGGGTTCGGCCTCCGGGGGCATCCTCGGGCCCTGGGACCATCAGACACGGATCGGGAACGAAAAACTCCCCCCCGGGAAGGGGTCGGGACCCTCTTGGGGCCTCGCATTTGAACAAATCAGGTCATTTGATGTCTGGGTCCGGGTTTCGCCAGAAAGCAGTGGCGGCGGGCTGTTCGTGCTTCTCGGCTTCTGGAGGCCACCTCCCCGGCCCCGGGGCGGTCAAAAACGGCCCGCAGGGTGAAGATCGAGGGAGAAGCACAAGGCAAACAAAAGCTTCCGATGCTCCGCGCGGAGCTCTGAAGGTTTACGCTTATGCAGGGTTCTTTCCTCCAGGCTGGGCCACCTCGTTCTTACCCCCCGATTGCCCTGGGGGCCCGCAGAAGCCCTGGGGTAGTTCAGTTGGGAAGCTCAAGGGCAGACGACAAGCATGCCCCCAGATTTCTCACAGCAAGATTCCTCTCGCTTCGCGGGGTGCACGTCCGGAGCACGTACAGCCCAGTCGTTGCGGGGCCTCTTGGGAGCTTCTTTGTGGCCTCTTGGAGGTGTCTTGGGGGCTTCTTGGGGCCTTTTGGGGGCGTCTCGGGCCGTCTTGGGGCGCTCTTGCGGCGTGTGGCCCAGTCGGAGGCCGGTCTGGGGGCCGCTCGCTGCCGTGTTGGGGCTTTCTTGGGGTCCTCTTGAGTTGGGCCGTCTTAGGGCCCGCTTGGGCCGCCATGGAGGCCTCTTGAATGCTTCTTGGGCCGTCTTGGGGCCATTTTGGAGGCTGCTTGGGCCGTCATGGGCCCCTGTGCCGGGCTTTAAAAAGAGCACGCGATGCTCGGCAGCATTTATTATGCGAGAAGCGGCGCACAGCTCCCAGCGTGACACAGCAGGCTTGCTCTGCCCCGCTTGCTGGCGGGCAGATTTGGCGCCGCGCAGCCGATGCAGACTGGTTATCGCTGCTGTGGAAAAGTGTTCACATGTGGAAGGTGGGGGCGTTGGTTGGCGTGACCTGCTCGGCTGCCGCGCGCGCGTGCCGTTCCGTCCTGCAATCCCCAGGGCTTCTGGGCGGCCTCATGGGGGGCTCTTGGGGGCCTCTTGAAAGCCTCGTGGGGGCTTCTTGGAGCGTCATTGGGGCCGCTTTGGGGTATCTTGGGGCTTCTTGTTGATGTCTTGCGCCGGCTTGGGGCGCTCTTGCGCCCCCTGGCCCCTTCGGAGGCCATCTTGGAGGCCCCTCGCGGCCAGCTGAGGGCTCTCTTGGAGCCCTCTTGGGCCGTCTTGGGGGGCCCCTTGGATCGTCTTGGGGGCCTCTTTTGGCCGTCTTTGGGGGCCTCGTGGGCCGTCTTGGGGCCTCTCGGAGGCTGCTTGGGCCGTCACGACCCTCGGAGAGCCGAACAAACGAGAGCGCTAAAATCTGTCAAAATACATAGGAAATCATCGATTTTCGCTTCTGGAAGAGTTATTGGGGGTCCTCTTGGGGCGGTCTTGGGCCGTCTTGTGGGCCGCATGGGCCCCCTTGGGGCCATCTTTGGCCGTCCTGGGGACGTCTGGGGCCGTTTTGGGGCCATTTTGAGGCCCTCGTGGAGTCCCAGGAGGCTCCGGAGGCCGATATCATTTATTATTATTATTATTATTATTATTATTATTATTATTATCCAAGCGTTTTTGTACGTTTTATCGCCCCACGGGGGGGGGGGGGGGGGGGCCTTGGTACGGTTATGTGGCGCGGCTCCAGGGGGGGTCGGGGGGGATACAAATAATGTAACACAATGCATTATGCACCAATGATGTAATCATGGAATACATTGGGTACGCTGCATTATCGCCTCCGCAGAAAACGCTACCGCTCAGCACGTCACTTCCGGACATGGATCCTTGAGCTTTCGCCGCACCGCCGACCCCTTGGGGAATGGGCGGTCGTGGTGTGTTGCTTGTGAGGGCCTCTTGGTCGCTTGTCGGGGGCTTCTTGGTGCCCTTTTGGACGCCGCATGGGGGCCTATGGGGGCCTCTTGGAGCTTCTTGGAGGTTGTCTGTGGGGCTGTGTGGGGGCTTTCTTTGTTTGTCGAGTGGCCTTCTTGGAAGCCTTCGGGGGCCGCTGGGGGGATTTGGGGAGCCTCTCGGGCCGTCGTGTTGCGTCGGGAAACCGAGAAGGCGAGAAGGTTAAAATCTTGCAAAAGCGGATTGCAAAGCAACGAAGATAGCCTCGCGGAGCCCTTTTGGGCGAGCGCCTCTTGGGGCCCTCTGGGCTCGTGGTGGGGGCCTCCTATCCTCCCAGAATGCGTTGGGGCTGGGCCCGTAGGAGCCGGGCGGACCCCTCTCTCTCCAAATCGACCGGACCAGGGTTTGGAGGGAGTGATCGGGGGAGGGGTAAGCATCTCACACGCTGAGGACACTCCACAGGGTCGGTGTATTCTGTCGCCACGTTCCTACTGCAGTGTTTTTTTTTTTTTTTTTTTGAAAAGGGGAGATGGTGGGCCTGCACACGCGGGGCAATCTGGTGCCCCCTGCCGTCGAGTAGCAGGCCAATACACTGTGAGGGCGGGGCGCCCGACGATGATCCAGGTCATGGTGCAAAACGAACTTTGTCTCGTAATTATCGTGGTGACCGGGATGGTTGGGGGGTTGTTTTTGACTCGGGTCGGCCGTCGGTCGAGTGGGCGGGTGTTTATGTATACAGAGCAGGGTAAATCACATTCCGAGGGGGCAGAAGGGGTTTGGAAGACAGGCTCCCCTAACCCACTGGCGCCCAGATGGCTGGTGGGATGTTATTTGCGGGCGTGGTTGTTGGTTTTGTGCAGGCCGCGACAGGGCCTTCGTCGGAGGAGCTACGCGCGTTGGGAAAGCTTGGTCGGGATGGTGCTCAGGAGAAGCTTGTCGGGGAGGTGGTTGAAAGGGGACGTGAGGGGGGCATCCCTCAAAATAAGTTTTGGAACCGTCGGGGGCGTTTTGAAGCGAGATATGGGTCGTGTCGGCGCCTTCTTGGACAAACGACCGCGTACCCAGGCCACGCGGATGGCAGACGGGGTCTCGTGGGAGGCGCCTCGGAGGCGTTTGGGGACCAGTTTGGGAACGGCTAGGGGGCCTCCTGGAGGCCTCTTGGGAGCGTTGATCGGGCCTTTCGCAGCCCCTGGTTGTCATAGAGCCCCGCTGGGCCGTCTTGGGGGCTTCTCCAGCGGCCTTGGGGGCCTCTTGGGCCGTATGGAAGCCCTCTTATGGGCCTCTTGGGCCGTCTTGGGGCGATCAAGGAGGGTTTGGGCGCACAACAAGCGAATGTGCTGAACACGCGCATTTTTCGATGGGAATGGGGCGATTCTTGCTCTTTGAGGCCGTCCTGGGACGCCTCTTGAGGGCTTCTTGAGGCGTCTTGGGGGCCTGATGGGCAATCTGGAGGCCCGCGTGGGCGTTTTCGACCGATTTATCGGCGGTTCTTGTCCCTCCAGGACCGTCCAGAGGGCCCCTCTGTGCCTTCTTGACCTGTTTCCCGTGGCTTTTGGAGCGGTCTTGGGGCCCCCCTTGGGTCGTCTGCGAGCCCTCTTGCGGGCCTCTCGGGTCGTCTTGGGGTGGCCCAGGAGGCTTGATGGGCTGTTTGGGACGCTGCGATCGCAGAAGAGGCAAACTTGCTAAACATGCAGGTTCTCCCATGGAGATGGGGCGACTGTCCTTCTTTGAGGCCGTCTTGAGACGCCAATTGGGGGCTTCTTGGGGCGCCTTTGGGGCCTCTTGGGCCGTCGGGGGGCCAGCGTGGGCGCGCTTCGATCGATCTATCGGCGGCTCGTGTCCCTCTTGGACCGTCCAGAGGGCCTTTGGTGGCCCCTTGGCTTGTTTTCCGTGGCTTTTTGAGCGGTCTTGCACCCCCCCTTGGGTCGTCTGAGAGCCCTCTTGGGAGCCTCGTCGGCCGTCTTGGGGCGACCCAGGAATTGCTTCTTGGGCCGTATTGGACGTGGCGATCGCAGAAGAGGCGAATCTACTAAAAATGCAGGTCCTCCCATGGAGGTGGGGTGATTTTTGCTCTGAGGCCAGCTTGGGACGCCTCTTGAGGGCTTCTAGGGGCGTCTTGGGGGGCCTCTTGGGCCGTCTGGAGGCCAGCGTGGGCGTTTGGCGGCTCGTGGCCCTCTATCGGCGGCTCGTGGCCCTCTTGGACCGTCCAGAGGGCCCCTCTGTGCCTTCTTGGCTGGTTTGGGGGCCCCCTGTCTCCCCGTGACGCGTTCCACGGGTCCCCGGGGGAGTCTCCCCCCCCTTCCAAGTCGACCGGACCGGGCTCCCGGGGGGAGGGGCTTGGGGAGGGGGGGGCATCTCACATGGCGATGAATTTCAAGGGGTCGGCGGATTTCTCGTCGCATGTGTCTGGGCCTCGCTGCGCGGCCCCCCGGGGCCGTCAGCGGAAAGGCCCGGGATGAGAAGTGCGGGCCTTGGCGAGTCGACGGCGCGTAAGGAGGAGGAGGAGGAGGAGGAAAAGGAGGAGGAGGAGGAGGAGGAGGAGGAGGCGGAGGGAGGAGGAGGAGGAGGAGGAGGAGGGAGGCGGAGGAGGAGGAGGAGGAGGAGGAGGAGGAGGAGGAGGAGGCCGACTGGGGCCCCCCGATCGCTGGGTGCGACGCGAGAGCAGCGGCTCCCGCGCTCGGGCCCAGCTCCCTCGCGCGCGCTCCCCTCCCTGGAAGGCCGCGCAGCACGCGGGCCACTCCCGCCCCGGGGGGCCCTCCTGCTTATCTTCGGCCCGGGGGCCGCTCCTCCTCCTCCTCCTTCCTCCTCCTCTCCTCCTCCTCCTCCTCTCCTCCTCCTCCCCCTCCTCCTCCTCCTCCTCCTCCTCCTCCTCCTCCTCCTCCTCCTCCTCCCCCTCCTCCTCCTGCGTGTCTTCGGCCCGGGGGCCGAGAGGTCCGGGAGCCCGCGCGCTGCGCAGGTCTGCGCGACGGATGCCAAGACGTCCGCGCCCCCTCGAGTAAGGAGAAAATCAGGACGGGAGGTTTTTCGCCATGTTCGGCCCCTGGGGGCCCTCACCGGGCCTCGGGAGCGTCAAAAAACGAGTCAGGATGACAAACCGGTCCTGGGGAAGGGGTCGAGAGCTCTGGGGTCGACGTAACGAAAAATTCATTACGTCGGGGGTCTGGGACGTGCGCGGCGAGTCTGTTGTTTTCAGTCCGCGGTCCCAGGGGTTCCCGACCCCTTCCACTGGAGCACTTTCGCGTCCCCGGTCCAGGATCCATCTGCTGGGGGCGTTCTCGTGGAGGCATGCGCCCAGGAGGCTTCAGGCTTGACTCGGAGGGTTCCCGATCTGAGGAGGGCTGCCCTGGCCACGCCTCAACTCTTGTTCCACCAGCTTTCAGACCCTGTATTCCCTTTGCAAGGATGCAAGGGCTCCTTAGATGCACAAGGACCTCACCGCACTCGATGGTCCCCCGGCTCGGAGACGGCCCCCGCGGAGTTGGAAGTCGCGGGTCGGTGCCTCCAGGACTGACAAAAGCCACGACGCCGGGGATCAGGGCGTGTGTGGGCCTCCTCGCTTGTGGCCAGGTCGGTGACCCGCGTCTCCCGCCGGGCGGAGGGCAAGGAGATCGAGGTCGCGGAGAAGGGCGGGGCGATCACCGGGCCCGCGTACCTGGAGGGGATCCCGCGCTCCCTCGTCGACAAGCCCACGCTGGACAGGATCCTCGCCGTCACGCCGGTGGAGGAGTGGGACGACCCCTCGGAGGAGAGCCCGCTCTACGTCATCAAGCTGCTCTCGGAGACCTACGGGCCCGGCAAGGCCACCAAGATGAGGTTCTCCGACTTTGCCTACATCAAGAACCAGTGCCTCCCCGCTGACGCCGGCGAGGTCGAGGACCCCTTCGTCACCGAGGAGGACTTCCAGCTCATGATGTCGGGCAAGCTTCCGCTGCAGATCCCGGGCCCGGCGGGCTGGTGGGACGCCGGTTTCACAATCAATTTCCAGGGCCCGGAGCGCTTCTCCGGTGACCAGATCCAGACCGCCGTCCGGGACAGCGCCTTCAGCCAGCAGTTCCTGGACAACCTGGCCTTCTACCGCCAGGGCCTGAAGCCGTGGCAGCGCGGGCTGGAGATCGGCATGGCCCACGGTCATGGGGGACCAAGAATCTGCGCAAAACAGTGCAAGCATGTCCGAAACAGGACGTCCTTGGGCGCTTTCTCTGCCTGTGCGGGACACAATCCCTCCTCGATCGTGGTTCTATCCTGCTTCGATCCTGTTTCCCGAACCTCGGTATCTCAGTTCGGATGTAGCTAAGATTCCGCGTAAGGGGGCAAGTGATTGGGCCTTGAGGCCCCAGAGCATGGACCATTATCTCTCAACCAAGTCTGCCGTAGCTGGTATTTCTTTGGGTGACGGCAGTTCCTGTTCGTGGAGTGGTGCGGGGGGGGGGCGCCCCCCGGTCCGCAGTACTGAACCAGATCCCGCTGAACCCCTTCCCTCCAGTGCCCGACGAGCTATCCTCGAACCTCGGTCCTGGACCCCTGTCGGGCGACGAGCCCAGCGATCCGACGTCGTGATTTTTTCAGTGCGGGGTCCCCATTCCCCAGGACCGGTTTTTCATCGTGAGTCGTTCTTTGACGTCCCCGAAGCCCAGCGAGGGCCCCCAGGGGCCGAAATTTGCGAAAAGCCTCCGTCCAGATTTTTTCAATGCGTTGGCCCTCGAGTAATGAAAGAATCCTGAGTAATGAAAGAATCCTGACAGGAGGTTTTTCGCCATTTTCGGCCTCGGGGGGCCCTCCCCGGGCCTCGGGAGCGTCAAAAAAACGACTCGGGATGACAAACCGGTCCTGGGGAAGGGGTCGAGAACTCTGGGGTCGACGTAACGAAAAATTCATTACGTCGGGGGTCTGGGGTGTCTGCGTGGGTGCGCTCAGCATATCAGGCGGTCGCAACCATGGATCAAGGGGACGTGGATTCTCGGGGGCGGAAAAGAGGGGGGTGATGACGAGGGGGGTGTGGATATCATGGCGGGGGCCATGATATCTCCTCAGATCTCAGGGCGCCTCTTCTCATTTCATTACGTTCCCGGCCCCCCCGCTGGGCCGCGCACATGCCGCCGTCCATGATTTGCACCCCCCCCTCTTGGACACCCCCCTCTTGGCCGCTCCCGAGATTCGCGACGGGTCACCCTTTCCATGGGGAATCCCGCATTTCCGCCGCCGGGCGAGGCGGCACCGGCCGCACTTCGGCGAGAGGGCACCTCCTCCGATCCGTGGAGTTGGCGACCGCGCGCCAAATCCACGGATCGCTGATCCATGCTTGCGCGCCCCCGAGAATAAGCGGCGTGGCGACACACACGCCGGTCGTTGAAAGTAGCTATTTTTGGATGCCCAGATCCCAATCTACCTCAAGCGCCTTCCTACCCCAAGAGTCGACATGCTTCTGCTGTGTGCTGCTATTCTCTGGGAGGACCTGAACCCAATCTACTTGATCCGCCCTCCTACTTCATGTTTTTACCTACTTCTTCCGTCCGGCGTGTACTCCAGATTTCGTAATAAAAGGGAGGGGGTCTGGACCCTCCAAGACAAGCCATTTCAGACCCCCCCCGTGGGAGAACCCTCCAAAACATCGTCCCCAGACCCCCCAGGCCCTCCAAGATAGCCTGGAAGAGACCCCCCCCCGAAATGAGACGCCCCTCCCTTTATTACGAAATCTGGAGTAGGTGTGGAGTCCGTCGCCCTGCGAGAGCTCTCAGCTCCAGGCGGTGCAGCAGAGGCGTCGGCACGCGGCCGCTCGTCCGCGGTCTTCGGCCTTCGCAGGGCGCCTGCCCGCCCTCGGGGCCGTCGGACCAGGATTGAAGTCGGGCCTGTCCCTCTACAGGGGGAAGATCCAAAAATAAGCAAAAATTGTCGGGGGACTATTTTTGGGGTATTTTGTGACGTTTGTGGAATATGTTTTGAATACTCGTGTTTTTCCGTCGAAAGTCCCCCTGTAGGGGGACACGCCCGACTGAAACCCAGATCCGTGATGAGAAGAGCCGGCCCTGGGGAAGTGGGATCCCTGCGGGCCGACGTCGCGAGAAAAGTGCGGCCTCGGACCCGGAACGCTGGCGTCGCGACTCCTCTTCGCGGCGTGTGCCCCGAGAGGCTCCTCGACCTCTCCCCAGGGACCGCCCGTGCCAGCCCGAGCCGCTTCATGAAGCCAATGGGGGCTCCCAGACGCCGAAAGTTGCCCAAAGCTTCCAGTGGATGTCTTGGTTTCAACGCGAGGAGGTCCCGCCGTCTCCGTCGCCGCCGCCGCTGTCGTCTTCGTGGTCGTCGTCGTCGTGGAGGAGGAGGAGGAGGAGGAGGAGGAGGAGGAGGAGGAGGAGGGGGAGGAGGGGACGGAGGGGGAGGGCGGGCGCCCGCGCTGCTTTCTGCCTCCCCAGGCTACTTCATCATCGGCCCCTTCGTGTCCCTCGGCCCGCTGCGCAACACGCCGGAGGCCGCCACGGTCGGCATGCTCTCCGGCATCGCCGTCATCATGATCGCCAGCTTCGGCGGCCTGCTGCTCGGGACCACCCTCAAGCCGACCCTCTTCGACAAGCCCGGCGACAAGCCCGCGGCCGGCTTCCAGGAGAGCGGCGGCGCGTGCGCGAGCGTGGCCCTTCGCTGGAGTGGCCTCTGTGGTGCGGGCCCACATTTAGGTCGGGCCTGTCCCCCTACAGGGGGATTCATTTTGGGCGAAGAATGAAGATGGCCAGAACATGCCTCCCAAATAGTCAAAAATAGAAGAGAAATCGTCCCACGATTATTTTTTTGACCATTTTTGACTACTCCTCCTGTCGAGGGACAGGCCCGACCGAAGCCCACGTGGGTCCCGCGGCGCACTCAGGCTGCGTTGGTTTGGCCTCCCTCGCGGCCCGCCTATCGCTGCGCACCAGAGGTCACTCTCGCCGAAGGGCCACTCCCGCGCGCCGCCGAGGAGATGATGATCTGGCACATCATCGGCGGCACCGGCGGCGCCGCGTTCGCCCACATCCTGCTCACCCTCTTCGCGCTCTGAGGGCGGCCCTCCCTCTAGTGTTTTTTTGCTGTGGGGCGCAGCGAGCCGCCAATCTCCTCCGCCTCCTCCTCCTCGTCCTCCTCCTCCTCCTCCTCCTCCTCCCCTTCCTCCTCCTCCTCGTCCTCCTCCTCCTCCTCCTCCTCCTCCTCCTCGTCCCCTTCCTCCTCCTCCTCCTCCTCCTCCTCCTCCTCCTCCTCCTCCTCCTCCTCCTCCTCCTCCTCCTCCTCCTCCTCCTCCTCCTCCTCCTCCTCCTCCTCCTCTCACGGGAGGAAAAATCACCCAGACCCGACAATTCGCGTTTACTAAACGGCCCTGGGCGTTTACTACACAGCCTTGCCCTGTTTGATTCCTTCTTTGGGTGCGTTTACTAAACAGCCTCGCGTGTCGGGGTGGTTCTGATCGGGGTGGATTTTCTGCCCACGTTATCCTCCTTCTTTCTCCTTCTCCTCGTCCTTCCTCCATCCTCCCTCTTCGCCTCCGTCGCCCTTCGACCACTCTCTCCACCCCCTCCCTTCACTTCTGTTGCATCCTCCTATCCCTCCCCTCCCTCCTCTCCCTCTTTTCCCTCCTCTGCCTTCTCGGCCTCCTCTCCCTCATTCCCCTGCTCCATGCTCCCTTTCTGTCTTCCGCCTCCTATTCAATTCCCCCTCCTCCCTTCTCCCTCTTTCCTCATCTTTTATTCCTCCTGCTTCTCCTCCTCTTCCTCCTTGTACACCCCCCTCTCCCCCCTTCATCCCTCTTTCTTAGAAACATGTAACTCTTCCCCGCCGCGCCACCACCAGTCGTAAGGGTTCCCTCACCGCTTACGCTCCTGGAGCTGGAAATTTCCAATCTGTCTACGGATGGATGCCGGGCGATTCGCTTTCAAAATGGGGCTCCCGTCTTGACGGTGAAGCCATTCATTTATCAGACCCAACAGCGACACTGATCGTCTTCTGAATGGAGTTGTGGCCTTGGCCCCGCGCGCACCGTGTTAGACAATTCCAGCACTTACACTGCCAGGAGGCGGTTCTGTTTCAACGTTTGTCTCTCACTTGAGACTGTCAGTCAGGGAGAGCGGCTCCTTTTCAAGATTCCGTTCTCGCCTGAGATCTTCTCAGACCTTTTGATCAGTCGGAACAGATGCACGGATGGAAGGTGGGCCCTTCTCATAGTGGGATTTTCGCCGGACACTTCCTTGACTTAGTTGCCTCGATACGCCCGTTGTGAAACGCAATACGTCCCGTGTTCAAGACGTCCGTGTCAATACGTTGGGTGTTGGCTCCACGTATTGGACCACGTTTTGGCGAGTGTGTCGCGTCGGGCCTACGTTTCCAGCCTACGTGTTGAGCTCCGTATCAATACGATACGTGTTGCGCGTTGCGTGTCGGGGCAGCCAAGTTCCTTGAGCTACATGTTCCCGCCTTGCCGCACTGATCGCCCGAAGGGTGGAGGGCAACTTCTCCACACGACGTGGCTGCCGTCTGCACTGCGGGCCCGCGCGCGCTGTCTTTCCAAGGGGGCGCCCCGCGCAGGGACGGGCACGTGCCGTCAGAGCTCATGGGGAGGGGACTCGGGACGGGAGGGCGCACTGCAACGTCGTTGGCACGCCTTGGGATTGGTTTGGTCTTCGTCGTCGTAGTCCTCCTCCTCTTCCTCCTCCTCCTCCTCCTCCTCCTCCTCCGCCATGCCCATGAGGGCGCGGCGGCGGGTCCCGCCCTCTTCTCCCCCTCTCCCCTCCCCCGCGTGTCGCTCGGTGCGCTGCCGGCGAGGTGTGGGGGGGGGGGGCATCGGCCGCGGGGTGCCGAGCAGGCGCGGGCCGGGGTTTCGACCGACCGAGATCACACCGCGAGCAGGGGATCGACCACAGCATCTACTCGCCCCGAAGTTGCTTTTCTCGCTGCTTCTTCGGCAACTGCGTGCAAATGTCCCGTAGATCGATGAGGAGTCGACGTGTTTCCTGCATGCTCGGCGGGGACGGCCAAGTCTGGAGTGCACCAATCCTGTAGTCGATCCCCGGTTGGAGCACTGGGGGGTGCCCTGGGCGGCGCTTTCTCGGGGCAGAGTGCCCGCCGATGGTGGCCCGAGTCGGGGCAGGGTAGGTCCCGCCCCCCCCCCCAAAAAAAAAACGCTCGCACTCCCCGCCGTTTGCCCCCGCGAGCAGCGCCGACGTCGAGAGGGCAGGGCCCGCGCGCAGGTGCGCAGCCGCCACGAGGGCCAGGCCCAGACCCCCGACGTCATGATTTTTTCATGACGCGACCCCCAGAGGTCCGGACCCATTCCCCGGGACCGGTTTGTCATCCTGCGTCGTTTTTTGACGCTCCCGAGGCCCGGTTAGGGCCCCCCGAGGCCGAAAATGGCGAAAAACCTCCCGTCGTGATTTTCTCCTTACTCGAGGGGGTCTGGGGGAGCAGTCCCAGCCTCGGAGCGGTGCCCCTCCGCTCTCTGCGCGCGCTCCGGGGCCCTCCGCCGTGCGCCTCGGTGCGGGCCTCGGAGCGGTGACAGGGCTCGCGCTCCCTCGTGCCGCGCTCCTCGTGGCCACGTCTTGGCGGCTGCAAGCCGGTTCCACCGGCAAGGCAGCCAGGCAGTCCAGGAGAGGTGCCCCCTGGGGGGATCGCACTGCCCCGCGGGAAAGTGGGCGATTGAAACATATTCCTGGTTCGTCGTCGTCGTCGTCGTCGTCGTCGTCGTCGTCGTCGTCGTCGTCGTCGTCGTCGTCGTCCTCGTCGTCGTCGTCGTCGTCGTCGTCCTCGTCGTCCTCGTCGTCCTCGTCGTCCTCATCGTCGTCGTCGTCGTCCTCGTCGTCCTCGTCGTCCTCGTCGTCGTCGTCGTCGTCGTCCTCGTCGTCCTCGTCGTCGTCGTCGTCGTCGTCGTCCTCGTCGCCGTCTTCCTCGTCTGCGTCGTCGTCGCCGTCGAGGCCGCCAGGCCGCCGCCAGTGGCCCAGACGAGCAGCAGCTCGTTGTTCGACCGCCCCCCCCCGCCGCAGGAGCCATTGGCGTCGCGGCGGACATCATGGAGGCCCACGCCGCCGACACGGCCGTGCAGCTGGTCCTCCGAGGGGCCCGCCAACCCAGACATCGGGCGCCTCGAAAAAATCGAGACAGCGGTGTTTCGTAGTTTTTGGCCTCTCGGGGCCCTCGCCAGGCCTCGGGACCGTCAAAACACGACTCGGGATGAAAAACCGGTCCCAGGGAAGTGGTCGGGAGGTCTGGGGCCCGCGTCTCGAAAAAATCAAGACGTCGGATGTCAGGGAGGCGGTCGCAAACATGGATCAAGGGGACGTGGATTCTCGGGGGCGGAGAAGAGGGGGGGGAAATGACTAGGGGGGTGTGGATCTCATGGCGGGGGCCATGATATCTCCCCAGATCTCAGGGGGGTGTGGATCTCATGGCGGGGTGCACACCCGCACAGACCCTGGCGCGGGCCAGATCTCTTGGGGCCCCTTCGCCCGGTGCCCGTGCCAGCCCTGCGTCTGTTGACGGCCCCGGGGTTGTGGCAGCAGGAGGAGGAGGAGGAGGAGGAGGAGGAGGAGGAGGAGGAGGAGGAGGAGGAGGCCCGAGGGGGGGACCGAAAACGGCGGAAGCTTGCCAGGCAAGTTCCCCCCCCCGCCCTCCAGGACGCATCTCCTCCAGGACCCGTTTCCCCCAGCACCGCGCCGCCGGCACGGCCGTCCAGCTGGTTTCCTGGGGGCCCCGCCAAGCCCAGACCCCTGACGTCGTGACTTCTTTGCAACGTCGACCCCCAGAGGTCTGGACCCACTCCCGGGGACCGGCATCTCGCCCCGAGTCGTTTTCTGGACGGCCCCGAGGCCCTGGGCAGGGCCCCCAGCGGCCGAAGACAGCCAAAAACCTCCCGCCGCGATTTTTTCGTGACTCGAGGGGGGGCTCCGGGGCCACGGCCGTCCAGCTGGCCTCCAGGGGGGCCCCGCCAGCAGGGTGCACGCGAGCCCATGGGCCCCGGCGCGGGCCGGGCCTCAGGGCTCGTGCGCTCGGTGCCCGTGCTGGCCCTGTTTTTTGTGGGCGGTCCCGGCTTGTAGAGGGCCCTAAGGGGGGAGGGCAGTCGTCGTCGTCGTCGTCGTCGTCGTCGTCGTCGTCGTCGTCGTCGTCGTCGTCGTCGTCGTCGTCGTCGTCGTCGTCGTCGTCGTCGTCGTCGTCGTCGTCGTCGTCGTCGTCGTCGTTATCGTCGTCGTCGTCGTCGTCGTCGTCGTCGTCGTCGTCGTCGGCGGCGTCTTCGGCGGCGTCGTCGTCGTCGTCGTCGTCGTCGGCGTCGTCGTCGTCGTCGGCGTCCCCGAGGGCACCCGAGGTCCACCCAGGGCTGCAGAGGGTCCCGGAGGGGCAGGGTAGTTCCCCCCCATCCACCGAGTGCGTTCCAGTACTCGCAAAGTGGCTGCTCGCAAACGCCCGAAAACCACGCGTTTGCCTCGATGTGATGGATCGTGGATCCCCCGCGGCGGGTCCAGGCCATCTGCGAGTGATTACTCTGCGAGTAGGGGAACACGCTTGTCTACTCCAGGACCCGTTCCCTCCAGGGTCCTTTCCCTCGAGGCCCCTTTTCCTTTGGGACCCGGTGCCTCCAGGCCCTCGTTCCTCCAGGCCCTCATTCCACCAAGACCCCGTTCCTCCAGCACCCCGTTCATCCAGCACCACGTCACCCCCAGCGCCCCGTTGCCTCCGTGCTGGCCCCAGGCCTGCATCGAGACCATGTCCAGCCTGGTCGGCAACCGCTTCCACGGCCTCGAGATGTTCGCGGAGGCGTGGCCGACTATGACGGCGACGACGACGACGTCTTCGTCGTCGTCGTCGTCGTCGTCGTCGTCGTCGTCGTCGTCGTCGTCGTCGTCGTCGTCGTCGTCGATCGGCGGCGGCGGCGGCTGCGACGACCACGAGGGCGAGGTCTCTGGAGGCCCCCGGATTGCCCTCGGAGGGTCTGGACACCCTTGCAGGCCCGCAGATGGCCGAGCATGTCGCGCTCGTCGCCGCTGGCCAGCGGCGGACGTTGTCGCCGTCCACCAACGTTGGTGGACGGCGACAACGAGGGCGACGAAGACGGGAAGAAGAGGCTGAGTACGACGACGACTACGGCGGCCACCACGACGACGCACGACCTCAGAGCCCCGAATCATCAGGGGTAACCCGGATCAGGGCTAACTCGGGTTCGCTTTTCGGGAACCCGAGCCCAAGTTGCCCCGGGTCCGAGCTAATTACACCAGGTAACTCGGGCGTCCAGAGCCCCGAATCATCAGGGGTAATTCGGGCCGGGGCTAACTCGGATTCGTTTTTCGGGAATCCAAGCCCGAGTTACCCCGGGCCCGAGTTACCCCGGATGATTCGGGCGCCCACCGACCACCGACGTCGTCCTCCGGACGACCGATGACCGACGTCAACCTCTGCCTCCAGTGCTTTGTGCAGGTCCTTCCTCCTCCTCCTCCTCCTCCTCCTCCTCCTCCTCCTCCTCCTCCTCCTCCTCCTCCTCCTCCTCCTCTTCGAGGCCCCCAGAAGCTTCCCAAAGTGCCGCAAACGTCCGAAGCGCCGCCCTGAGGATGGCCTGGCGACAACGACGACGCCGCCGCCGATCGATGGCGACGACGACCAACTGACAGACTTCTTTGATCGACCGACGGCGACGACGACGCCCTCGTCGTCTTTTTCGTCGCCTTCAATCGACTGGCGGCGATGACGACGCTCGTCTTCGTCGTCGTCGTCCTTGCCGGTGCTACGGTGGGGGCGTTCGTTAAGGAATGCGTCCAGGAGCTTCAGACCCTGGCGGCTTCCTTATCTGATGAGGGCGGCGGCGGTACCCATGGCCGATCCACAATTGGAGTTCCACTGGTTTCCAGACCCTGGATTCCTTACTCTAGGGTTCCTTCTCGAATGCCCCCGCCGTACATCACGTCGACGACGGCGACCGACGGAGACGGCGACGGCGACGAGTCGTCGTCGTCGCCTCGTCGGTGCTACGGTCGGACCGAGATATAAGATCGAGGTCGGTTCGGGGTGGGTGCCCTAATGTTCTTCGTGTGTGTTGTTGGATGTTCTTGTGCATTCCAAGGGAGGACACCCTCAAGTGTTCTTCAGTTTGGCCGGCGGAGGGTCTCATGTGCTTGCAGGATGTTCTTCTGTCTTAGGTCCAGCCGTACATCATGTCGGCGACGGCGACCGACGGCGACGATGTCTCGTCGCCGTCGGTGTCGGTGCTGCGTATGTTCGGCCAGGGTTAGGACGAGGATAAGTCCGTTCCAAAACGGTCCGGAACGCTCTGAGACCTTTCTGGCACTCTCTGAGAACGCCGCGGCGCCCGAGACACCCTCCAGGGCCGCAGGATCTCAGAGATTCTCGATTTGTCCTCACCCGAATTTCTCCTCGTCCCAGCTTCGTCTTACGACGGAGTCGGCGACGTCGTCTCGTCGCCGTCGGTGTCGGTGCTGCAGTGTGCTGCGCCGACGTCGACGACGAGCAAAGGGAGGAGAAGTAGGAGGAGGAGGAGGAGGAGGAGGAGGAGGAGGAGGAGGAGGAGGAGCAGGAGGAGGAGCAGGAGGAGGAGCAGGAGCAGGAGCAGGAGGAGCAGGAGGAGCAGGAGGCGCAGGAGGAGGAGGCGGAGGAGGAGGAGGAGAAGGAGGAGGAGGAGGAGGAGGAGGAGGAGGAGGAAGACGAGGACGAGGACAAGGACGAGTCGCCGTCGTTCTCGTAGTCGACCGACCGACTGCGGCGACGACGACGTTGTCCGTGGAGGCGTGGGGAGCCGCACGGATTGACGCCGCGATGCGCTGCCACGTCGACGACCCGGTGCCCACAGGGGGGCGGGGCGCAGAAAGAGCGGCATCTGCCACCGCTCAGCTTGGAGGAGGAGGATAGAGAGGAGGAGAGGGAGGAGGAGGAGTTGGAGGAAGAGGAGGAGGAGGAGAAGGAGGGAGGAGGAGGAGGAGGAGGAGGAGGAGGAGGGAGCAGAAGGGAGGGAGGATTATCAAATACTGATTATTTGTTGTATTATATAAAGCTTCGAAGCTCAGTTGAAAGCCTGGCCGCTGAAAATACAACCAAAGCTCAGGGAACGTCGGCCCCGACTTGGGAGGGAGGCTTCGACTCATTCGGGAGATGGCATCTTTGCCCGCCTTGGTCGGGGGCCTACACTTCACAATGAAAAAGGAGCTTGCGGGCACGCTCGGCACAGATAGCCCCGCACAAAGTACAAAAAAAACTCGGGTGGCAGTCAGCAGCCCTAGGGTGTCCACGAACGCCCCCTTCAGCCAGAGGAGGGTCCACACGGTCAGGGCGGAGGTCATCGGCAATGAGGCGGGTGAGAGGTCCAGAACCGCCCCGAGGATGGCACCGACAGGGCCAAAAATCAGACAAGGGCCCGCCCCGAGGGAAAGAACGGGTGCAGCGCGAGCGCTAGAAAACCGAGGTTTTCACCCGCGGGTCATGGCTAGTGTAACAGATGATCACCGGTCCCACACCATTCCTCTTGCGCCGAGAGGGCAACCCAACACGCTGGGGTGGAGGGCGGTGGGACGTAACCATAATTTCATGCTGGATGGCATGCAACCTACGGATCCCTTGACAGTAATTCCTCAACATTAAAACTGGCCTTCGCAAGATCAGGGAGGTGGCATGCGCGGCAGCGCCTCGAAGAGCGACATCATGG